AGGCGGGGGACCTGCTCCTCCCCATGGGCACGCCCCCGGGTCCGCTCCCCAGCGCCCCGCCCCCAACGCAAGGTAGGCCAGGTGGGACCGGCCCTGAGCTGTCTCTGGGCCCTTCACCCAAGGAAGGGCCTCGGGGCTGGTGGGGAGAAGGAGGAGGATGACCCCCTCTTCCGAGGACCCCTGATGGTGGGAGGGGAAAAAAGGGGTCACACATCCAGTCCAAAGGCTTAAAGAGAGAGCAACTCACACAATAGGCACCGTCTGTGTTCCAGGAACCAAGCCAGGAACTTGATTTTATTTAATCTTGTCAATGACCCGATGAGGAAGGACGGAGAAGGGGAGGCCCTGAGATATAGGTGGCTTCTCCAAGGTCGTGGGGATGATCCTGCTGACCCGGGTCCCTTTTGTTCCCGGGGAAACTGAGGCCCAAGGTCACCCAGCGGCATAGAGTGAAGGCCCTGAGAAATTGAATCTCTTGCCAGTCAGCTCTTCTCCCACTGGCCCTGGGTCTCGGGGTGCCTTAAACCAGCAAGATGGAAACAGAGACACCCCAGATGCTGGGCCAGCGGCTCTGGGGACCAAGACCCCACTCCACTAGAAACCGTGGGAGCCGTCCAGCCAACCCTCCTGCACACCCCTCTTGCATCTGCCACCAGCCAGCAGCTGGCCTGGACCCAGGCCTCCTCCCCAGCCCATTTGCCGCACTGCTGCGCACAACAGCTTTTCCGGGTGGCTGAACCACTGACAGCATGCTCACAGCCGGAGGGCCCGGAACAGCTGGTGCCCTCACTATAGCCTCTGCCTTCCTCTGTGCCCACTCAGTGGGTGGCTACACCAGCAGCGCCGTTGGCCTGGGGCAGAGAATGCCCAGGAAACTGCTGGTGGTGCCAACCCACCATTTGGCTCTGTTGTCTGACCCACATGTGCCCTGCATCCTCCCACCTCAGCCTGAGTTTAACTGTGTGGGGACAGAGGTTGCCCAGGCTGAGGAGAGATGCAAAAGGAGGGGGAGGCTGGGAGCCAGAGACAGGAGAGGCCTAAAAGGGTAGAGAGATGGATACCCGAGGTGGGAGGAGGGAGTCACAGAGCGAGCCTCTCTGTCCAGTCCCACCCGTTCTGCCAGCACCAGCCACTCCCTTTGGTCCCTTCAGCCTTCTTCTCCGCCCCCACCCCCCCATGCCCATCTCTCCCAATGCTTGGGACAGGTGGGTGGGACACCTGCTAGGAGTGCAAGGAAGACAGGAGTGCACGCCCAGCCTCAGCCCTCAGCCCTCCGGTGCGTGCAGGAGCCGGCCTAGGTGGTCCCCCTCTTAGCATCTGAGGGAGCACTGGGAAGAGGGACCTACACCCCTTTTCCAGCTCGTGGCTCTGCAGCCGCCACTGTGCGCAGTACCTCTGCTGCAACCCACTCTGAGTCACACCCTCCCACGCCTGGAAGAGTCAAAGACGGGTGCTTGTGTTCATGCAATGCCGAGATTCTGGGGAGCGGCTGGCCCCTCTGGGCCTCGGCGTCCTCCTCCAGAAATGGACTTGTTCAGGGAATCTTTACCTGGGGCCAATGAACCCCTTTGAAGGGTATGCAAATTATATAAGGGGACCAATTGTATATGCTTGAGAGAATGGACATCTATTTTCATCAGAATTTCCTAAGCTTCCAGACCGAAAAGAGATCCAGGGGTTACTTCAGGGGTTCTGCTTGCCGAAGGGCCTTCCCAAGCACGGCCCTGGGAAGGGGCTAGAGGCCCATGGTGGAAAGAGGTAACTTTCCAGGCTGGGGTGAGCTTCAGAAAGAGGGAACTAGGGGGCTGGGTGGTGGAGGATGGTATAGGGAGGATAAATGGTGACGGAAGGAGACGACTTGGCGTGGTGAACACACAATACAGTGTACAGGTGATGGGTTGTGGAATTGTGCGCCTGAAACCTGTATAATTTTGTTAGCCAGCGTCACCCCAACAAATTCAATAAAAAAAGAAAAAAGGAAGTAACTAAACCCAAAGCTTCCCAAGAGGCTCCCACAACCCATGACCCTTCCCTCCCCGGCCAATCCTCCCCACAACCCAAAATGTGAGGCAGTTTTCTGCAACCACCGGTGAGAGAACAGCACCATCTCCTGGTCCAGGGTAGTAACCGGTTTCTGTGCTGCAAGCAGGAGCCCAGGTGCGGGTGCCATGTTTGTTGCCATAACCTCCTTTCTGTCTCTCTTTAACTGCCTGAGGGAGTGGAGGTGGAGTGGCCTCCAATGGCCTTCCTCCTCTGGTCCATGACTGGGAAGGGGTCCCATACTCCACACTAAGAGTTTGTCCAAGGCCCACCCCTTCTAGGCCACAGCTTCCCCACGCGGGATGACTAAGGATTGGAGCAAGAGCTAAAAAATGAAGTGCATACAGGCTGCCACAGTAGCAACAGGGCACCCTCAAACCAGTGCTCTCGTCCCAGGCTCTGATGCACGTGGGTGCTGGAGATCCTCTGGACATTTCTCACTGGATCTGGGCTTCCCTGCCTTGGGCCACCCACTTCCCCCATCAGGTCCAGACTGGGCAAGGACAGTCGAGGCAGAGCTGGAGAGGGGTCTGCTGTCCCCAAGACTTTAGCCCTGCCTTTCCCAAGTGCAGATGAGAATGTCTGCCAAGTACACCCCCTGAAGGCCAGTTGGCTTTGTTTGGTCCCCCCCCCAAAACAAAAATTCCTTAGGAGAGGGGTGGACTGGGAGGTAACTAGCTAGGACATGTGTCCATATAAAGGAGGTGGCCCCTTCTATGCAACCTTCCTCCCAACCCAGACTTCTTCCTCATCCAAGTCGACACTCCTGTATTTAACTGGCTGACTGCCACCCTCCACCTGGACCTCTGTCCCGCAAACTGCCACCCACTCAATATACTTAAAGCTCAGCTCTTCTAGCCCCTTTTCCTGCCTCAAATGGTTCCTTCTCATCACTAAAGGAACCCCCTGCCAGTCCTCCAAAGCTCAAGGCCTTGGGACCACCCTACTTCTTCCTCAGCCCCCACAATCAATGTTTACAGAGCTGTTTCACTTCCTAAATATCTTGAATCTTCTTTTCCCACCCCAACACATTAGCTTTTTTGTGTGTGAACCCAAATGTCTGCAAAACAAAGACAGTAACAACCCTACTTGAAAATGTTGCAAATACTAGAATCAGTGTTAAAGTACTGAGTTCTCAGTTATTTTATTGTAAAACTGGCAGTTATTACTCCCAGTAATAGTTGCAAAATAAAACTTATACCTATTTGCAAAAGGGGCTACAATTCACTAAGCAACTCACAATGGCTGACAAGCTTTTGTAAGTCATGCGCCTTTTTCCAATTTCTGAGAAAAGCCTTTTCTTTTATCCCCTAAGTGACGGGAATAAGCCCCACCCCCCAAAAACGTGATAGGACAGGGATGTGAAGATTTAGAAATTGTGATGCTCCACGTGACAGCTTGTTACACCTCAATACAGCTGTTTAGGGATAGCAGTCAGCAGTCCAAGTCCAGGTGTAACTTCTGGACTGATGTTATAGGGCAGCTTTCAACCTTGGACCTCAGTGCCCAGTTGAGAAGTGTAAGCACTATATTTGCTGTTATTTTTAATACTATGTGATAACTATTG